TTCTGAATCTGTTTACTTGCCATCTGTTGCCTTCTATTTTCGTCTGTCTTCAAGTTTTGAATTGTTTGAATGCCTGGCACTGTTCTTGTCATATCCGCTTTCTGTTGCTAGCATCGTGTCTGGGTCATTACTTTATTGTTCTTCACATATTTACTTAGTGCCTGTGCACTTGGTTTTATTCTTAAACTTTGTCGTCTTCTTGACTATTTTTCTCTTTTTTCATTCAATCCTCTGGTTTTTTCTTTTTCCAGCTCTTTTGCTTAAATCCGTCATTATTCCAAACTTTTAAGCTTCTGCAACTGTCTTCGTTCCTCTCCTCCGATGAAGTTTACGTCATTCTGTCATTGTCGTCAGACTTCGGCAATTCTCATTCCGGCTTCCCTCTTTCTGGTAAGCCACTGTTCCTCCTGGTTTTATTTCTTGTTGCTTTCCAAGAAGCTCTACTTCATTGTTAATCACCATTGTTGTTTTACCCATTGTTTCCAAATCATCTTCTTGAATACACACTGTTCACACATCTGTTGATTTCTGCCACTGTTCTTGGCTTGACACACTTGTGCAATCTTTTTGTCTTGATTTCCTGATAGCTTCATAACCATTCTTGATTACGAATTACATTCTTATTTCTATTTTCTGTGTCTTTTTCCAGATTCTTGCTTTTAATCCCTGCCTTCAAACTCCGAGGTGCCAATCGCCGAGAAGAGCCTTGATCAAACTCTTCGGGAGATCGATGCTAAGCTCGAGGCCGAGAAAGCTGCTGAGAAGTCTTCCCAACTGTCTTCTATATCCTGCCATTGATGCCGAGTAGTTTTGTTTCCTTCTTTTACTCCTTGTACTTTGTCCGTCTTTGTATGCTTTAATCCGGCTGACATGCCATTTTTGTAGTCTGAATAATTTATTTTTCAATTTTTAGGCCGAAGTGCCTTCTTTCTTCTTTAAATGCATTTCTCTGATTTCTTCTTTGAATGTATGTCTTTTGTTTTCTGCTCTTGTATGATTCTATACTTAGAATAATTTGCATGTCTTCAAAGTACACCTTGACTGTGCAATCTCTTCGGGTAAAATACCTCTGTCACAACTTCTAATCTTGCTCATCTCGGCCTTGTCCTAACACTTGAAAATATTGTAACAAATATTTTCACAAGTGTTGCTTAGGACTTGTCACTTTCTCAATGTCTTCTATCAAGACTTCAGTTTTCCATATTTCAAGTTTTGACAACCTGGTAGTCTCGGCAAGTACGCAGATATTGCTTGAACTTGACTTTAACTTGTAAATTTTTCTCAAAAATTTCAACAAGTGTTTTAACCATCATCCTTTATCATAACCTCGGCTTAACTTCAGCTTGTAAATTTTTCTCAAAATTTCAACAAGTGTTAAACCATCTTCCTTTATCATAACCTCGGTTTAACTATAACTTGTAAATTCACACAGAATTTCAACAAGTGTTTAAACCAATCTTCTTCCGATACGACCTCGGTTTAACTTCAACTTGTAAATTCACACAGAATTTCAACAAGTGTTAAATATCACATCGGTTTAACTTCAACTTGTAAATTCACACAATTTCAACAAGTGTTAAATATGACCTCAGTTTAACTTCAACTTGTAAATTCACACAGAATTTCAACAACTGTTAAACATCATCTCGGTTTAACCAACTTGTAAATTGCTACAAATTTCAACAAGTGGTAAACATCATATCGGTTTAACCAACTTGTAAATTGCTACAAATTTCAACAAGTGGTAAACATCATATCGGTTTAACCAACTTGTAAATTGCTACAAATTTCAACAAGTGGTAAACATCATCTCGGTTTAACCAACTTGCAAATTGCTACAAATTTCAACAAGTGGTAAACATATTCTTCTTCTCTCTGCCCCCTGCATGGTTTCCACATACTCCTTTGCGAACCTTATAAAAGGTCTTCAACCTGGCTAACTGTAGTCCAACCTTGTGTGTTTTCTTTTTTATCTTCTGGGATCTAAGATTTGCTCACTAAGCTCTTCTCTTTTCGGACTTAAGTGCCGAGATCTTATCTGCTAGAATCTTAGATCTGCTCACTCAGGTTGAGCTCTTCTCTTCTCGGACCTACTCATCTAGGCCGAGATCATGTCTTCTAGGATCCGAGATCTGGAATCTGGGACCTGCTCACTTAGGTTGAGCTCTCGTCTTCTCGGGCCTACTTGTCTAGGCTGAGATCATGTCTTCTCAGATTCGGGATCCAGGATCTGGAATCCGGGATCTACTTACTCAGGATGAGTTCTTCTATACTTAAATGCTATCTCCTTGGGAGCGTTCATGCCCCATGTCTTTGCATCCCTTTTGGAAGGGTCTTCGTTCCTCCGCAAGTATCTATCCTTCCATACTTGGAGGTTATCTTCATTGTAGTATCCGCTTCGATCTATTGTCTTTGGTGCGTCACCTTTCTAGCTGGCGTCTTTCACTCCGTGACTCTGGTCACGAGTTTCTGTGTTGCGGTCGTCCCCTTCAGCGTCGAGGTTGATAGGTCTCCTACTTCCAGCAGGAGCATTGTCTCAAATCTAATCCTTCTGTCCGTCATTGGCTATCTATTCTTCTTTCTTTCCCACAGACGGCGCCAAATTGTGTGAGTGATTTTCTGACCACACTGCCCGCTTAGTAACCCAGCTGGAGAGCACTGGTAGAATAGATGGCACCTGACTGACCTGCAACAGAAATATAAGAATCCCGCGGTGGTTCGTCCACCCGGGGGCACTCCGACGATCAAGTCAGTATATTTCTCAAAGATAATCAATTATTCAACTCACAAGCTTGAGCCTAAAAAGCATACCTTAGACCCATGGGGGTGCCTCTCTTTTATAGCCAACATAAACCTAGTCCCAATAGAAGCCTAACTTCTATGGACTTAGGATTACTGCTAATCTTGGACTCCCAGTAAGATTAGGATAAACTCTCTAAGAGTCTTATCTTAATACAAACTGAAGTCTTCTCTCATTCTAGGACTCTTGTCCCTCATCCAGGTTGAGTTTCCTTTTCATTCTAGGACTCTTGTCCTTTATCCACTTATCTCGGATTCCGATATCTTCGGAGATAACCTCGGCCTTGCCGAGATCACCTCGGCGTCATGACCAGGACACGTGGCACCTCGGGTGACACGTCGGCGTCACCTTGCCACGTGTTGGTACTCAGAAAATATATCCCCACAGTTCCTTATCTTCTTCAATTGATGATGTTTATGCTTATGTGGATATTTCTACCTTGTCAAGTTGTTCTAATTTAATTTAAAACATTTAACTCAACGGGAAACTTAATTGGGGTGGTATTGGGTTTTCGATCACTTGAATAACGCAGAGATGATAATGTGTTATGTATGGTTTGATGGATATGCTTCCTAATTGAAAGCTAAGTCTTGCACAAGCTGTTGTCGCGTAAATCCTAGAATGGAACAGACGTATTCAGACTCTTTGCGATGGTTTGATTGGTGAGATAAGGTTGGGTCCGGATGGGACATTCAGGAGGCTAAAACTTTTTTTTGGAAAGATAATGTTGGATTCAGGAGATAAAATCTTTTTCTTTTCGTTGTCCCTTTTGAGGCCCTGCGGTTGGCGCTGCACGGTATATAACCATTGGTAGGCATCCGAGGTTAGTTTTGTAACAAAGCAGTAAAATAGGGAGTTTCGAATAGTCCGGTGTCCAATTCTTGTGGTTGGGAGGATGAAATCTCTTTGGGGAATTTCTAGAATACTAACCACTAACATTATAACCTTTTGTTAGCTATTTGAATGACATGTTCTTTTTCTTTATTATTGAAATTGTTGTTATTGACTTGAATATCATGCTTCACTACTTGCTTGCTATAAATGTGATGGTGTATTGGATTGGGAAAAATGGACGGGGTGTGTGTGCGTTTACTGGGCATTCAAAGCTCATGGCGTTTCATGCCAAGTATTGAAGACTATTAGATCGATCGAAGGCAAAACTGAAGCATTTGAGGACGTACGGCTACCCCTAGGAGGATTAGAAACTAGTTTGTAAACGTGTTTTGAGATTGTAAGTGATAGATCTCATGTTGTATTTAAGACATGATTTGTAATTTGTATATATATAACATTTGTAACATATTCTTATACCCCGTCAACTCATGTAGGCCTTGTGTTAATACCTTGTCAAGATCTGTAAAAAAGATAGCTTTGCTATCTAAGGTAGTTGGACTTTGAAGGGAGGCTATTTTGACTGCTCTGACCTTCCTAGAATCTTGCTTGGTTATTATCCAAAGGATTCATTAGTAACGTTTCCTACTCTTGTAACCTTAGATAAACCCTGTATTTAATGGTTAATATATTATCTGATGTTCCCGACTTTTGGGGCATCACAAAAGACCATGATTGATGCTTTGTTTGGGAAGTAATAGTTTGTCTAAAATTTACTAAAAAAAATCAAAAAGTCTATAATATATACCAAAAAGTTAAAAATTTCATTTTCTTTCTACTTTTTGCATATCTTTTTGTAAAAATTCAAAAAGTCATTCTAAACTTACAAATTTTTTTACCTCATATTTTAATCAAAAAATCAAAAAGTTACTAAAATAGCCTATTTTCAATACATATAAAATTTTCTTAAACAATAAATGGTTTGTCAATTTTATATATGCAAACAAAAGTAGATTATATTAATTTTTTCTGTTAATTGACTTAACGGTTGACTAATGAAAAATTAAATTATAATAGAAGTTTAAACCTTAGACAGGAAATTATAATTTCCAAAACGTGAATAGTACTTGTATTAAAGACAAACCTCAATGGGTGTTAGAATAATTTATCATTTAAGAAATCTTTAAATTTATACACAAAATTCTTCAATTGACAATAATATCAGTATATTTATTTAAAAAATATAATACGTGATTAAATACAATCATAAATATTTTAATATTTCTTAAAATATAATCGGCCCGGCCCGGACGACCCGACGAATTACATCAATTTTTATTTTTTTTTGTTAACTATTCATAAAACCTCCCTTCTCGCTTCTCCATCGTCAGTCAGTCCTCCACAGTCTCTCTCTCTCTCTCTCTCTCTCTCTCTCTCTCAACTTGAAATGGAAACATTGGGATGGCCATCCCCTGCAATCTCTAATGGCCTCTCTGCAGAAGTCCGAAAATTGAGTATCAGAAGTAGCAGCTGTATTAAGTTTACTCGAAACCCAAACCGTTGCTTGGTTTTTGCAAATGGGTACTCGTCTTTATCCCCATTTTCTTCTCAGAGAGTGTCTACGAGGCTCAGAAAATCGGTGATTGTGGCTGCCAAGAAGGATAAAAAGAAGAAGGTCGACTCTCATAGCTTCGTACCCAAATCTGACGAAGCCACTGGCCCTTTCCCTGAAGCTGTGTTGCTCAAAGAGGTCATCTTTTGATACCCATCTTTACATTTTCTTCTTTTTTGTGAGTATTAGTTTGGAGTTTTTGTGTATAGTTTGCTGCCATTGAATTCGATGTTTAGTTGCTGATATGCAATTTGAAGAACAGTTTAGAGGGCTGAAAAACACTAGCAAAACCCTAAAGTATCAGTGTGTGTGTGTTTGTTTATAGACAAGAACTTTAGGAGGAATTGTGTGAAATTGAGTTTCACCCCCTTTTTTTTTTTTTTTCCTTTCTTTCTTGGATAAGTAAAATTAAGCTTCGCCCGTGTTGAAAACAATTTAAAGAACAGTTTGGAGGACTGAAAAACACTAGCAAATCCCTATGCTATCACTGTGTGTATGTTTGTAGACAAGCACTTTAGAAGGAATGGTGTGAAATTGAGCTTCTTGAGCTTCACCCATTTTTTATTTTCCTTGGATAAGTGAAATTAAGCTTCTCCCGTGTAGAAATGTGAACTTTAGGATGGAGAATATATATGTCTGTGTGTGTGTACCTATATATCTAGTTATGTATATATAAGTATGGGTGTGTTATGTATATATGGAATTACATGTGGGATTTTTTTTTTTTGAAGTTTTGTCTTGTGTTCATAATTTGTGCAGAATTTTTTATTTATGTCATGTTCGCATTTAGAATCCAATTGAATTTTGAGAGGCTAGGATTTCATCCATCCTTTTGGGTCATTTTAAACTTAAAATTGGGTGCCCTATCTTGAGTTTTGGCTACTAGGTGTCACTCAATTTGGTTCTGCCTTTCAGAAGAAAGTTCAGGAAGATGGTACACTTCTCCCTGAGTTTGCTGATGTTGAAGAACGTAAGTGATTATGATCTTGATTCCTTTTAGTCGTTTGCTTCTTTCCCGAAGAAGACTCTTCATTAGACACACAATTTACGGTGATTGATTTTGTTCTTGACTTGCAGAAGAGCTTTTTGAGCAACTAAATCTTCAGCTGGAAAGTGATTTGAATGTCGAACGAAGTAAGCACGTTTCCTTGTCATTTTTTCTTTGTTTCCTGTGTTTGACAATGCCTATTCTTTCTTTTTGGTTTTGTAGCTAACCACAAAGAAACTAAAATTTGGAATTTTATTCTTTCTATTTTCCTACTTTTTTTTAATTTTAATTTTTATAGATAGCTTCATTTTGATATAAATTGTTGCCTTTATATTCACAGTGCGCCATTATGAAGTGGTTTATATGATTCATGAGGACCATGTGAAAGAGGTTGAGGATGTGAATTTGAAAGTTCAAGGTGAGCTTTGAGTTGATCTCTTGTTTGTTCCTAACATTTTGGTGCTCAAACTACAGTAAGTTTCTAGCCAGATGTTCATCAAATCTTTAATGTATTAACTTTGCATGCAGCTGTAGTATGTTCGCAATTATTTTTTGGTACATCGAAGGCCGTAACTTGGGAGAGGGGGGAATCTTGCATGCGGCAAGTCTCGAACCCTTGACCTCTTGATGAGGTCCAAGGGCTTTGCGCACAATTTGTTGGTGGTTTTTTAGTGATTACTCGCATCACATTGTGCGTCTGTTGTGACTTTTGTCTTTTCATTCTTACAGCACAACATTATGATAGATTTGTTCTAAAATGCTATTTTCTGATACAACCAAACCAAATCAAACTAGACTACGCCTGGTCTCCCACTAAAGTGGGGTTGGCTACATAGATCTTTTTTCTCCATTTTGCACTGTCAAGGACTATATATGCTCAGTTAAATTAAATAAATTCTTTTTTCTTTTACTACAGCATCCCATGCCAGTTTAGGTTTTTTCCTCTCCCTAACATTTCCATTTATGATGATCATAACACTATTCCTTACTGTTGCATCTATATGTCTTCATTGTACATGACTAAATCATCTTTAATTGGTGCTACTCTTATCATTTCAAGAGTATTTATTTCTAATTCTATCTATCCTAATCTGACCATACTTCCATCTAAGCATTTTCATTTGAACTGCACTCATTCTCATCTGTATGTTCTGATACAACATGCTATAAAAACTTGTCAACTTTGTTTCTTACATTCAAAAAACGTACTTTGGCAGATTTCATAAAGGAGAAGAAAGGCAGGATATGGAGATTCAGTGATTGGGGTCTTCGAAGACTGGCATACAAGATAAAGAAAGCAAAAAATGCCCACTACATTTTGATGAACTTTGAGTTTGAAGCCAAATGGATTAATGATTTTAAGAGTTTGCTAGACAAAGATGAGAGGGTCATTCGGCATTTGGTGATGAAGAAAGACGAGGCTGAAACAGAGGATTGTCCTCCACCTCCCGAGTTCCACACAATACGTTCTGGCATGGATGATGACGACAACGAGGAAGATGACAATGACGAGGATGATATAGATGATGCGTATGACGATGAGGAAGATGGTGATGGTGATGAGGACGAGACAGATATTGATGGCAATGACAGTGAAAATGTTATTATTTATGTGGAGGACTATATTGATGAGTCAAGGGAAAGTAGAAACAGTAGTAAACCAAGTGATGTAACTAGCATGGGGAGAATGAAACTGAGACCTGAGAAAGTTGGTCGATAGGTAATTTACGTATTTACATTTGTTTTGAACTTGTGTTTTAATAAATTCAGGTTAGATGAAGTGAGCTCTTATATGTTTTGTTTGGCATTCGAGTGGTGTGCTTTGATGATCTAGCAATATTGTGTTTATGATCCTTTAAGCTGTGCTTGAATCTTGAATTTGGAGATCATGACCTACACCTAGCCCATGTCATATAAATGTTGGGCTTCATTAATCATTATTGTTTGAGTAATACTACATATCTATATTTATTTATTTTTTACAATTCATAATGCACATGACAAGACAAAGTTGCATTGCAAGATAAGACTCAAATTTAGGCATCGCATTCTGTAAGAAAGTGTCTCATCTACCAGGATAACCACTTGGTCTATATATATTTACATTTCTTACTTGCTAGATAAAAGATGTTGGGACTCACTTAGAACACTTGTTTGCATCTAGTGGGTAAGATTTACAAGTGTGCATAATATTTTTAAAATTGTAGAACATGATAAAAATAAATCAAATCCTATATAAACAATTTATTTATATCACATCATACATGGATCACATCAATGGTTGGTTCCAACTTTGTAACAGGCACAATGCAAAGGGAATGAGCTTATAAATTCAGGATTATCAGTAGATTCAAACGGTGTGAGAGAAAATATGCAAGGAAATGAGCCTAGAAATCTGAATTATCACTGGCTTCAAAAGCATTAAAATAATAATGAGATTTAAGCTTTTAACATCCAAGCTGAGAGAGAATTTAGAATTAAGGGTTGATGATACATTATATAAGTGGTTCATCAACATAACCTCACTTGAATGTGGCCAACTTGCACATGTAACAGAAGCACCGGATCCTCCATCCCCGAAATTTAGTCTTCTCCATTATTATGCACTCTTTATTTTATGATTTTTCATCATATTTGTACAATTGGAAGCGTATTGGGGCAAAGAGATAAAAATTTTGAAACGGATAATCTGACTATAAAAAGTAAGTGAGACAGTAATAAGCCACACATGTGCCTTTCTCTAATCAGTGTTTGTTTGTATGGACGGAATAAGGAGGGATTGTAATTCATCGAATTGTTAATCCTAGGATATATAGTCCTTTGATTATTTGATTGGAAAGGAGGTATATTTCATATTTGTTTAGTTATAGGATTAGATGTCAAGAAATAACTATTCTATTAAATCTTATATTTATTTGGATATTGAGAAGAAAGATAAATATTCAAAAAACTATTTTTCCCTTTTGAATTGTTTACTAAATAATAGGAATACTAAATCTGAATTATAAATTTTATTTTGTTTTATTTTTTGACTAAAATTTTTAAAAAATTAAATAAATAGAACATCAATAAAAATTACATAAATTTATTTTAATTTTTAATTGAGATTTTTAAATTTTATTTTACTTTATTAAGTATAATTAATACCATGAATGCACCAAATTTGAATTTTTTTTACATTCTATATGTATAGCAGTTAAGTCCAATATTTTAACTTTTCAAAATTCCAAAAAACAAAAACAATATTTGAATTTTTTTTTAACTCATATTCTTTAAAAAAAATAACCTTAATTTTAAAATTTGTATGTATCTATATTAAAAAATTTATATAATATAAGCACAAACGTTATTGGAAAAAATTTCCAAACATAATCTACAGTTATATATGAAAAATAGATAATACATTTATGTTGTAAAATCAAAAATCTATATATTACATAATTAATAAATATTTCATATATCAGATACTAATCTTACTATTAAAGAAAAAACAATAATTTTTGCACATCAAGTAGAGTAAATTTTTTTTTTATTTCCTAATTATACATTTGTCATAAAATCTAAAATGCATTTATTACAAAATTAATAAATATTTCATATTTCATACATCAATCTTTACCAATCAAGTAGAGCAAATTTTTTAAATTTTCTTCCAAAATTATATTTTTATATCCAGCTATATATTTGTACTATATATTAAACAAAAGAGACTTTTCACGAAAAGTCTTGTGAAGACTACTACACTTTTAATTAAATTTGTAAAAAATAATTTAAAAAACACTACTGACTAACCCATCAAACCAATAATTATAAAATGGGAGATTTATTAGAAAATTCTGTTTTAAGTGTTTGTATCTCAATTAGTCCATAAGATATTCTTATATTTCAATAAGTCCTATTATTTGAGAATTTGATCTACCAAATCCTAATTCTCATATATAAAATATTTTATGGACATTTTTACCCTTATAAATATTTTTTGAATGGTTAACTATTTAGTGATGTGAAAAATCATATTTTACAATATGAATATTCACATTGACGTATTAACATTCACATTGATGGTGTGAATGTTTACATTGACAATGTGAATATTCACATTGACGGTGTGAACATTCACATCACGGAACACTCACACTGTAAATGTGAATATTATTAGAAGTATTTTGGTAACTATGTCACTCATAGGATTTATTGAAATATAAAAAAATAATGTAGACTAAATGAAACATTAATAGGTGAAAAGGAATTTATGAAAAAATGCCCCCATAAAAATAATAATGATTTCAAATTTATGTTTTTCAGAAAGAAGATATAAAATCTCGTTCCTGATTTATCCAATTCTATTCTCTCTCATAAAATTTAAAAGGAAAAATTAAAAGACATCCAAAATACTAATTATAAAGGAATATTTATTGATAAATCCTATTTAGAAGTGTCCTAATCTAAGAAGTTTATGAAAGAATTTTTTAACCCACTTAGTCTTGTGTATTTATATTATTATTCCATAAAATCCTTTTTTTTTTTTATATTATTGACAACACATTAAAAATAATGTGAACATTCTCTCTTATCTGAAGTGAACGTTTACAATACCTTTCCGAAAAATTCTCTCTCATCTAATATAGTGATGTGAATGTTCACAACATGTTATATTTTTAATTGACAACACATTCTTATTCACAATATATAGTGATGTAAACGTTCACATTCATATGTTTTAGTATGAATATTCACATTATGTAATTGATAACACAATGAGAAAATTTTATTTCAAATTAATGTGAATATAATGATGTGAATATTCATTTTAATTACATGATGTGAATATTCACATCATATAATTGACTATACAATGACAAAAATTCATTTGAAATTAATATGAATATAATAACAGTCAACATCCTGATGTATGAGAACTGCCAAAATATAATAACAATCAACATCAAATATCAACATTAATATAGGGCATAAGAGATTGGGGGTGTTTTGATCTTCTTACTTCAAATAGGATCTAATGGAATAATAAAAAAAAATATGGGTTAGATGGAATAAAACTTTTAAAAAGAGGACTTATCAAAAAAGCTTTCTTTATAAATCCCATTTAGAGGACATATAGCCCAATAAGGGGGTGTTTGTTTGATAGGATTCACACATAGGATAGGACTTCATATCCCGAGTATAGAATAGTCTATTATTTAGTGCAGAAATTTTACACTGGATCCAAATTTATTGGATTATTCTATCATGGGGGGTGGGGGGTATGAGACACAAAATGCAAGATAACTATTCTCGTGAAATTAGATAGTAAAAAGACATTTTTGACCCTCTACTATTTAACATATTTTTCCTCATTATTTTTCACATAATTCTGGGCATGCTGCTCATCTTGTGGCAAAGGAAGCAAAACAATTTTATCATGTATTTCCCTGGTCCTGTTATATAATTATGTTGTTCAATTCCTAAAAAAAATAATAAATAAAAAAACAAAATAAAAACAAAAGGATTATTAAGTTGTTGTATTTTTGGGACGGTGTTCCTACATTTGTGCAGGTGTTCCAAGAATTGTGCTGTGCTATTTTAAATTAGTGGAAGTTAGTGTTGGGTTTGTTTTGACCTAATATTAAGGAGCTAAGAAAAGGAAGCTTTTTTTTTTTTTTTGATAAGTCTTCTTTTTAAAAGTTTTATTCCATCAAATTTATATTCTTTTTTATTATTCATTTAGATCCTATTTAAAGCAAGAAGATCAAAACACCCCCAATCTCTCATACCCTCTATTAATGTTGATTGTTATTATGTTTTGGTAGTTCCCATACATCATGATGTTGGCTGTCATTATATTCATATTAATTTGAAATGAAAAAGGACTTTATGAAATATAAATATAAATACATGGGACTAAATGGATTAAAAAATTCCTTCATGGACTTCTTAGGTTAAGACACTTCTAAATGAGATTTATGAATAAAAATCCCAATGTTTTAAAAGAGTTAAGAGAAAATATCAATTATAATACTACCATATTGATCAAATTAACAATGCTTTAAAGGAGATAAGATTAAATGTCCAATATATTACCAAATTGATTAAATATCCAATAATTTCATGACATGTGTATTTTTATATTTTTAAAATTGAAAACAAATTACATTAATACTTTAAAACTCAAATACTTAACAACATTTTTACTTATATAATAGTATAAATTTTAAATTAAATAAGGTAGATAAATCAATACTTGAAAATTTGTAATTAGTATTTTGGATATCTTTTAATTCTTCCTTTTGAATTTTATGAGAGAGAATAGATTTGGATAAATTAGGAAGCAGATTATTTTATCTTTCCTTTGGAAAAATATAAATTTGGAATCAATATGATTTTTATTGATAATCAATAAATCTAGGGAGCCTCCCTAATTTACCTAAAAATTTACCGAGTTGGTAAATATTTGGTTAAACAGAGAAGGCTCCTAGTGTTATTGTTTTACAATTATTAGTTTAACGGCTTAGTCAATAGTGTTTTTTAAATTATTTTTAAGTAAAAATTCACAAATTTAATTAGAAGTAGTAATTTTCACAAGATATTTCGCGAAAAGTCTCTTTTATTTAATATATAGTACAAATAAATATATGGATAGATACATATAGATATAATTTTGGAAGAAAATTTTAAAATTTACTATACTTGATGCGTAAAGATTAATGTATGAAATATGGAATATTTATTAATTTTATAATAAATGCATTTTAAATTTTACTACAAATGTGTAATTAGGAAATGAAATAAAAAAAAAAAAAAATTAGCCTA